GCGGGGTGGACGGGACTCGGAGGTTCTTGTCAGCTTGTCAGAGGGTTGTGCAAGGTGCTGATTATTGAATATTTTGTGTTATGTTCAAAGTATTTGAATTGGGAGCTGAGGATGATGGTGTGACTTGAACAATCCTGAAGCTTTGATAGTTGTGAATCGAGATAAAAAAATATAAAAATGTTTACGTGAGACGATCATCGGTAGCCGCCCTAAATTTTATACACTGAGCCACCACCAAGAGACACAAGACAAGGAAATATAAATATAGCGAGAACTCGAAGCCAAAAAAATGGGAAAAGCATATTTATATACAAAAGGAACAGTTCATTTAAGATTAAAGACGATAGACCTCTATCTCATAAGACAAAAGTCGCAGGTACAATATAGTATGCATTTGGGGCATCCCTTCCAACCAAGTAGTAGAAAGCCGGACGACACGACGACGAAGCGAGTACACATACAACCAAATCCCTCCTTTTTTCCTGTCCAAACCTCATCATCACCCTCCTCGGCCTTGGACACGTCAGAAAAAAGAAAAAGAGGCTTTAAATACCAACTCATTTGTCCTTATTCACATCAAAAAAAATTCAATGCTCGCTGAAGAAACGTGATTTCCCACCGGTTTAATGCTCCAGAAACACCCTCGCAATCAATTAGTGACAAAGGGGAAAAAAAGAAAAAAGAAAATATGTCCCTGCAGGAAGAAGAAAGGATGAGGGTATGACAGCAAGGGCACACGATTTATAAGAGAAAGGAAAAGAAAAGGAAAGAGTGAAAGAGCGGATGGGAGGGAGGGAGACGTGATCTAGCCTTCGACAAGGGTCTGCTTGGGGCCTTTTCCGAGGAGCTCGAGAGATCTACGTGCCAGCGCAACGACCTCGCCCTCACCGTCCTCGCCGTCTTCCTCGTCGGATTCGATGTTCTTGTCTGAAATAGCCTTCACCATCTGTACAATATCTTCTGATCTAGCAATGAACCCGATAAGTCTCTTATCTTCCGATTCCAAAAGCTGCAGCAGCGTCCAGATGGCAATGTGTTGAAATGTCGGGTCACCGCTGGCAAGGAAGCGGCTCAAATACCCATGGATACCTCCGTTGGGATCGGCCCAATCGCGAACGAATATTGAGTAATCGCCAACTATAACGGTTAGTAAGAATACGATCTACAGGTCGAGCTGAGAAATTACCTTTGGAGGACAGATTTCCTAGCGCAGCAGCACTGTTTCCTTGAACTTCTATGCTTTCAGAATCCGTGAGAGGGATAAGAACGTCGAATACCCCAAGCCTGAGTAGATGTGCTTTCAGATCATCACTGAGAGCGAGAACCGCGATAGCAGCAGTCATCTCCGACTGCACACTCAACGGCACTTGGAGGACGAGCTCCTTGCACTTCTGAACTGCGCCAGCTTGGAGCACCAATTCTTTGTTACGATCGGAGCTTGCAGCGAGATTTCGAAGCGTTGAGATCGCATGGCATTGGATCTCCTCGTTATCAGTGGATCCGAGGAGATCGACGAGAGGCTTTAGGAAACCTGCATCGATGATGGGGGATTCGTTCAATGGGTGAATGGAGATATTTCTGATACAAGCGACGGCGGATAGGATGAGAGGGAGGTATGACGATTGGAGTAGTTGGAGAAGAGGTGGGAGACCTCTGGCCCGGACGATCTCCAGTTGGTACTTTTCGTCTGATGCCAAGTTTCGTAGCGCAAGGGCAGCTTGGCAGCGCACCTTGGGCGTTGACGAGTCCATGAGCTGGACTAGTGATTGTACTAGCTTGGATTCGGTCTGTGCAAGCTTCTTCCGGTTGTTCGAGTCGACAGCGATGTTACTTAGAGCTGTGGTGCAGTAATACTGGACATCGACATCCTGAGAAGAAAGGAGATGGACAAGGACAGGAATGGCACCAGCATTAACGAGCTGTTGGCGGTTGTCATCTGGAATAATCGTTAGTACTACAGACTTTAGATGGCACCAGAATGAGAATAGGCGTACCGGAATGCGTCATATTGAGCAGTGCACCAGTCGCATTACGCTGTACCCGCATATCCTTCGACTTGGCAAGCCTCGTTAAAGGTCCCAGAGCTCCTGAACGAGCTATTTTCGCCTTGTTATCTTCGTGTGTAGCCAGGTTCGTGATACAGCCAACCGCGTTGCACTGCACCTCAACATTAGGTGACATCATCTGTCGGATTAGAGGAGCCAGGCCGCCTAGCAAGACTATCGATACTTTGTTTTCCGCTGCATCATATATAAGTTCATGTCGCCGATGCCGGAGAGGTCGGGGGAGAGCTTACTGTTAACCGCGAGGTTACCAAGGGCAGCACTTGCCGCCCGTTGCACTTCTATATCGGGGCTTTGCAACAGCACGAGAATCGGCTCGAGGGTATTCCTATCAACCTCTCGAACATCTTTCACTCAACAGAGTTAGCAGCTACATTTCGCACGATCGGTGCATGGTGCGGGGAAGCTAGATAACCAACCTCGTTCCGTGATTTCCGCAAATGTCAAGCTCGCGCTCCGTTGAAGATCTACATTTTCTGAATAGACGAGGGTACTGAGGGCTCTGAGAGGTTCTCCCGAAAAGAAATCGGTTTCGGCTCGCTATATAAGCTGTTGGTTAGGAAAGGGACTCGAGTTTCGGGGCAATAGCACGGGTAGTACGCACGTTCTCCAAGTATTGTAATAGATCTGCCACTGCCTCTCGTTCACTATCTGCCAGTATGGGTTCGTAGATGCCATCCTTCGTCCGACCTGTGTTGGTAGAAAGGATGGTTAGAGAGTGTATCCGGTAGCGGGCAGTTGGAGAGGAAGGATATCGTACCTCCGCAGCATGAAACACAAAAATTGCCCATCCTCAAGGCCTTTTAGTCCCGAAGGACCTGGAGCAGCCTTTGAATGTATCAAGGGAGGACAAGACGCGAAGAGAATCGGTTCGACAAAAGCTGCAGTGGTTTTTCTATCTTCAGGTTCCCGCTGGGTCTTCGAACAGGCGATGGAAGATCGAGGAGGAAGAGATAGACGAGCGAGGAAGTTCGATTGGTTATGACATTTGGGGTTGTTTGGTCCGTGTGGTGAAGGGCCAATAACCAGCGAGTCGTGTGACAGAGATCGATGGATGGTGAAAGAGACAAAGGAGTGACTGTTCCAAAGTGTTCTTGTGATCGAAAACGATCAGGAAACCAAACCGTGAGCACTGATAGCTGGGAGGCAGTTGCTAGGAGATTGTTGCAGATAGAAGAGGTTGGGCGGTCCTGAGAGTGACTGGGGGAAGCTTTGAAGGAACCGAATCAACGACGAGAAGGGAGGAAAGCAAAGACCACAAACGAGAAAGTCTGTTTTGACGCTGGAACCACCAACCACTTTCGAGTCAGAAACAACAAGAGAGGCACAACCAGAGGTACGACAGACAGACGGGATCTGATCTTTCTTTCTCTTGGGGGAGAGAGAGAGGAGGAGAGCAAGGGCGAAGGTAACGTGAGAAGAGATGAAAAGGGAAAGGTCGAAAGACAGGGGTGGTGGGAAGGTTGTAATGTCGGAGTAAGCATAACATTAAGGTTGTATGGGTGGGTCAACCAGGTGGAAAGTTGGCCAGTCACAAGACGTGTTTCTACGGATCGTTGAGCCTCATCCAGTAATATTACCTCGATTTCGTATGTTTCATACGCGATGGTAAAGAAAATACGTAAGTCTCGGGATGTACGGTATTGTATCATACCCAGGCGAAAGATCAAACGACGGACCACGGAAAAACTACTACTCCGCAGTTCAAGCTTTCCCCTTTCGGACATCCCCATCCATCGACCTTTCTGCTTCGACGACTCTTGCATGTTTCCCCCCATGCTCTTCGGAGCTCACAATCTGTATGGCTTCGTTCGGCCCAACAGGATATCAACGCCAAATGCGCGTCGGTACTCAGCTGCAGCATGGGGCATGCGCTTGGGGGGACCAACCTTCTTTCCCCCCTCACACCACGCTATTCGTCGATCGTGAGATCCCTACCCAGATCCCGAAGGAACATGATACATCCTCCAAGGCAAGTCGACGGCAGATATCTCGCCTATTTGGAGAGGTGAGTAAAATGACGACTTTGTCTCACAGCCAGCACGGGTGAACCTGTTTCTGCCGTTCTCGTTTCCAAGACCACCGGCCACCATCCTCCCAATGATGAACGAGGATTCGTCTGCACGATCGACCTCAGCCCTGTCAAGAACCAACCAGGTTGGATGTCAGGTGGTCCGTGAGGGACGTCGCGGAAGAGAATTAACGGTGGACGCGCAACCTTGATTGTCATTATATACGCCAGATCTCTCGGCTCTTTTTAACCATCATCTTCGTTCAAGACTCTCCTGCTTGAGTGAGACTGATTCAAAACGGAATTCTTTGTTTGCCTGATACGAAGTAGTTCGTTCTTCCCTGGCTCAGTTGCCGTGAGACTCTCAAAGTCGTTCAATCTCGAAACCGATCGAGGCTTGGCTAGGATTTCCAGTTCCCGGTGAACGGGTGGTTGGGGATGGGCCTGCAACGACAGGCTGGGATTGAGATATTGGGGGTGCTGCGCGTCTGTTTCTGAATATCTTCTGCTAAGAATGGGTAGAACTGATCCTATCCCTTTACCAATTCATAGAGCGGGTTATCTGACATGCCTCAATGCCATTGCCTATTCCATTTTCCTCATTGTTTTTTCTAGCCTGTTTACCTGCATTTCCTCTTCTCGTGACAAGTACTAAATTCCGAGTTGTATGCAACCGAACTCCGATATTCGGGAGAACTGTGTTTACTTTTGAGGTGGATTGCCACCAAGGCCGGCTCTCAGCCGGCTCCTGTGCTGTGAAGCGAAGGGGCGGTTAGGTGAAGATATTTATTCAAGACAAACTTTTGCTCTCTATGTTCGTACAACACAGAGATAGATACCGATAAAAAACAGATCGTGTTGTGAAAATGAATTTCCGGTTGTTTCTAGTGAAGTACACATAGTTGAGAAAAAATATCAACAAGCAAGTCTCCGTGGCGTAATTGGCTAGCGCGTTCGACTGTTAGTCATCATAACATGTTATCGAGAGGTTCCAAGTTCGATCCTTGGCGGGGACGATGTCTCATTATTTTTTTTTTGAACATTCGAGACATGATTTATAGCTGGATCTCATCATCGTTAACAGCGTCTCATTCATTCTCTCATACCATATGTATCATATCAGTTTGATGTCGATGTGTTCTTGTCTAACTCTCGTTCACAAGATCACAATTCATCTTTCTTTAGCATCATCACTAACATCAGCCTCTGATCTTACTAATCTATGAGAACTCAGACGTAATTCTTTTTCTTCGTGAGTAACTCTGTGTAGCATTCGCTCTCTTCGTGTGAGAAACTGTCTCTATGATTGAACGCGATGCTATAGTGACCTGAGTGCTAGACAGTTATACTTGCAAGTATCAGAGTTGAAGCTGTTTTAGCAAAAAAAGAACTTTTGAGATTCACATTCTTAGATGTCATGAACAGGAACCGACATCAGGCAATCTTTGTCGAGATGCAGTCGCTGTGATATACTTAATCTACGATTTCATATCTTGTCCAAAGCAATGCAAGCTTCCAGGGACGTAAATCTGACGACGGAAGCAGATATTGTAGGTGGGGAAATGGTCCATCATGGAAGAAAGTTGTTCTGGTTTCCCAACCAGGTTAGACTGAATCCCTTTTTACCCCATGGGAAAGCTCCAGAAGGAAAAGAAGGAAATTAGCTCCATCAGCATCAAGAACACGCCCACGAAAGACGAAGAAAAAAGGTAGATAGTCAAGCATCAGATCAGTATACATATTTGCTAGTGTTTCGTTCTATGACTATCGTGTTTCTTTGATTGGGTTTTGGTTCCGCTCCTCTCTCTCTCTTTGGCAGGATTCGCCTACTTTGACGAGGCATCATCTTTTCACCTATTTCAATATTCGCTGCCTACTTCGTTTCCATGGAACACCCCGAGTATCCTTCCTATTCACTCCTTTGAGTCGCGTTCGAAGGTTTGCAGTGAATTATTATTATCATTGTTATCTTAGTGAATTAATAGTGCAAGTCTACATTTTGGCCAGTTATCACGTCCTACTTTTCAAGGATGATACAACTTCTTTCCTTTCTATAGCTCATTCATTTATATATATCTATACCTATATATACTACTATATATATTCTCTTCCATATCTGCGTTCCTAGGTATGCCAGCTGCTCAGGCCGCGAAACCCGTTCTCCTGCAGTACACGACACTGCTGGAGTTCTACGACGATTACCCAACAAGGAACACAACGACAGCTACTACTAGCCATGGCAACCCGATCACATCTCCGGTACCGTCAATCAACTCCACCGATCCTCATCTACTACCTCGACACATTCTCCAAGATCAACAGATGTGCCAAGCAATCATCACTCGTGGACAAGACTACTTGGCTAGCCTTGCGGCTCCTCCCGGAAATATCCCCTACCTTCATCTTGCTACACAGATGCTTCTCAGAGCGTCTTTGACAGGAGACGGGTCACTCAATACTGACTTGTTTGTTAATATCTCAGCTTACGTCCGTCAGTTTGTCGAGATCGCAGATAGATTATCCCCTGGCGATGTCCAATCGGTCCCCTGTGAAGAGACCCATTGTGAAGGCGTAGAGAGGACTCGTTCAATCCGGAAACTTACTCGTGATGGCGTGGATAGGGTGATTGTAAAGATGCAGAGTGTTGCTGCGTTTAATCATCACGCTAGTGAAATACAGGCCATGGCAGGTGCTAACAACAGGGACGGAACTGATATCGTACTCGAAGCAGTTGAGACCGGTGCAAGATCGACTATATATAAGGTGTGTACAGTGAATGGAACTACCCTACCGGCTTAGTATCAGGTTCTAACATATAGGTCCCAGATCGGCATGCATATGATCGAGCGCTCTTGCCCGTGGGGTGTTTTGCTTGGAGGTGATGAATTTATGCTCTTCCACCTCGACACGCGTATATCAGGCAATGATACTTACCATCATCTCGTGGTCTCTGACCGTCACGCCGCGTTTCCAGCGGTCGCAGACCCTCATATGCTGTCGTTGATTCAAGTCCTGATTGCGTTAGTCCTGGGGGATAAGCTTGCTATCCAGTATACTTCTAGGCATGTCGAGATTCGGACTAGATACGCTACTAGCGAACGCCCAGATAAATTGACTGAGTCCAGACCTTGCGAGGGAACAGCAGATTCTAAGGCAATAGGGCAAGGGCCCACTAACGCAACAGCAGGGCCGTCAGCAGGATCAGTTCGAGGGCGCCGAAGGCGCGAAACTGGATTACAGACTTTCGACCTAGAATCCCTACTTGACGGGGTAGACGTAAGTAAATTATGCTCTGAAAATATCCCCCCTCCTTTCTAACCGCTGACCGACCCGCTTCTCTAAGCTTTGCTCTGTATCGTATCCGAATTCTGGCGCTCCCACGCGTGAAATCGCATTTGCCCGTGTCGTAAGTACCCCCCCCCCCCCCCCCCCCCCTCCCCCCCCCTCCCCCCCCCCCCCCCCCCCCCCCTTGCCGACCAAGGCGCGCAATCCCACCGCCAGGGCCTTTACCGGCTATCCCAATCCCTCTAATCATCGGCCCCAAGGGCAGGATCAAAGCCCTGAAAAGACTACTTCAAGAAGAAGAGTGGCAGCGCCAAAACCAAATATCTTGAAACTCATCCAGGTACTCCGTACACGAGACTGGAGATGTAGAGCAATCATGGTTTAAAAATACTGGAAAATCATTGCGAACTGGTATCCTCACTCACCCAGCTCAGCGATTACCCTGATAACCTCATGGGCCGGGAAGCCAGGGGTTTGGCTTTCACAGCCTTGTGGGGCAGAGAGGGACCTGTTGATCCCATCCAAACATCGAAAAAGAACGGTCTGGATCGTGAATCGCGATGCACCTTTGACAATCGAGCAGAGGCTGCAATCTGACTCCACCCTTCAACAATAATTGAAATCCATCCCGCTTATGTAGACCAACAGGCGAGTGGCCTTTTTTTTTTTTTTGCGCTTCTGGCCCCCAGATTCTATTATTGTATTGCCGTGGTCTCGAAAGTGTTGCGCGGAGTCCTCCAGAAACACTATAAAAGAGGCCGTCTCCCCTCGATCTTCAAGATTAACAGTACATCTCCATCACAATTGCACCAGTTCAAAAGAAGCTCCTTTTCTTGTAAGTCATTTACAACGAGGGACGGCTCATTTTAGGAAGCTAATCTGTCTATAGATCCCACCACCCTTACAAGTCCGCTCTCCCACTTTAAACCGAATCAAAACCCTCCCCAAAATATCAGGAACCATGCAAGTCCTCTTCGCTCTCGTTGCCCTTGCCGCCTCAGCAATGGCTCAGGTCACCTCCGAACCCCCCACCTACCCGTGTGCTCCTGGTACCGCTACATGCCAGGGGTCCGACCTGATGGTCTGCACGGCCTCGAATACATGGACGTTGTCTGCCCACTGCGTTGATGCGAACGGAAACGGGGCTGGTTGTGAAGCTCACGACGACGGAACCGCCTTTTGCAAATAGATGACGAGAGGTCTTTATATTTGCCTGTTACGGGATAGGATCTGGAAATCAAACGTTGTGTCTTGGAACCGAATCTAGAAATTGGGCTATGTGCTGAATATCAGCTTATAAATAAAAAAGAAACGTATTGTCTATGAAAATTTGTTTTATTGCTATGTGATTTGTCTCATTGTTTTATCCATATATCACCGACAATTACATTGGGATTTTCACCCATGAGTAGCCTATCAAACTAGGGGTGGGATGGGGAAACAAAATGGTGCTGATTGAACGTTTCCTAGGCTTGTCTTTAGGCCTTCTAGGGAACTGCACATTTCTGGAAAGCCTCGAGAAAAAGTATTTCCTGAGGGTATAATCATACGAAAATGTTGTTATTCGTGACATTGACCCTTTTATAGGGATCATCTATAAAAACATCTAGAATTATTACCTATCCCCCGGTATCAGCTATATTTGCCATACAAATTCGCCCATGTCTAGCGCAAGTAGACCGGGTGAAATTGAGATGGCCGCCCCGAGGTCGCCGACCTCTCTTATCACGGCGGTAGGTTCCACACAAAGTCGAGAGCACCTTCATCAAAATCAGGAAATGCGGGAGTCCCGCTCCCAGTTCCGAAAGGGGCCATAGATGGATCGAAAGGTAAAGAAAGCCAGTCATCGTCTGGCCAGATCCCGTCGAATCCCGCAGGCAAAGTTCCGCAGCCCGCACCGAGCGATCCCATAGAAGTATTTATGGGGTCACCGCTGTTGTGCGGTGGTGGAGGTGCTCGAGGAGCCCCTGTGGATGATGGCCGCGTCGGGACCCCCTGGCTAGGCCTGGAGTGCTTTGACGACGCCATGAAGCTGCGACGCAGACGCGACACATGGACATCGAGAAGGCTGGCATATCTTGATCCCAGGTGGATGTCGTCTAGAGTGCTTGATCTTAAGGCTAGGATGCTGCGCTCTAGTATATCTAGAGATTCATGAAGTTTGGCATTACGCACCCCAAGACTCAACGCCTTAAGAAGAAAGATTGAGCAGCTAGTGATGCGCAAAAAGACTCTGACTGGGGAGAACTTTAACGCACCAAGCTCTGCAATCTTCGTAATCCTTCTCAAAATCTGGCAAGATCCGTCTACAACCTCTTGAATAAATTCATAGTCGATATCATTAAGGTCAATGGAGCCTATCCCGTGGGATATATCGGAATTTTGGGCCAGTTCTCTTTCAACAACAGCCTGCATCCCAAAAGAATTGATATATACTCGGACATATTGATATTCAATGAAGAGAATGTCCCTGAACTCTACTTTTAGATCTGCGGAACAGGGTTAGCCGGGGATGTAAGAAACAGGAATGATAAGTAGAAATATAGGAGGTGAGAAAGACTCGGGAAGTGTGCTATTACTCTTGCTTTCGAAATATTTTTCTTTCCACTGCGTAAGCAGAGGCCGGAAATGATCCAACAAGCTGATATAACGACCATTGTGTAGTTGCCTTCGCGTGAAGGATGTGGAAGGAAACAACATATCCGATACCGAGGTTGTAAGCCTAGTCAAT